TCCACAATCTCTCCACAAAAAGCCTAGACCCTAGAGCCCTCAGTGGAGAAAGAGATCTCTGCTCCCGAAAGTTCTGCAAAGCTGGCAAAGTGAGGAGTCACAAAGCGCGGGGACTGTGGAGTTGAAGCGCCTCATGGGTTTCAGTTTCTAGGGTTAAAAGGAACTCCAGAAATTTGGAATATGGATTAATGGTAGGATCCCCCTATAATTTACCTTAAAGGGGTTACGATAATGATATTCCAACTTTCTGGCTTCTACTGTACTATACTGAACTTAGAACCCTAGCAAAAATTAGAATTTCAGCTGTTTCTTAGGGTTTATGATAACCAAAAATTAAAAATCATTTCTAAGTACCCCTAAGGTTATGGGTTTAGGGTTTAGGGTGTAGGGCTTAGTGTGCAGGGTTTAAGGTTTTTTAAGTTTAGGGGGTGCGCTCATAAACTACAAACAAAGACTCAAACCCAAACCCCAAATCCTTTTCTAGGGTCAGCTCAAAGCATCTCAAATCCTGGCACCCGAAGCTAAGCTGTGACCCCCATCTGTTGAGGCTGTGCACGCAGCGCTTTTGACTGTTTCCCTCCACAACAGAGTCCCAAAACATCAGCAAGTAAGTGACTCCCGAACCTGAAACCATAGACCCTAAACCCTCAACGCTAAACCTTGAAGCCTAAACCCCCATCCCCGAAAAGCAACGAGCCTCCTTCAGGGATAGAGCCTCCACAGGTTTTGCCGCTGGTAGGGTGAAGAACGACTCTAGAGTTGAGGCTTTAGGGTTTACAAATGCTTTAGGGTTTAGGGTCTAGGTTGACAAATGCTTTAGGGTTTAGCTGGTAAACAGTTTCCGGACACCGTTCATGATATAGGGGCCTTTCGGCAGGCAGGTGCGACTTGCGCAGGACAATATGGAGGTCATATTAAGGAAGAGTAGGGTTTGAGTATATATATTGTGCTATGTGATTATTTGTTCCTCCGGTCTTGTCTTTCAACCTTACTGCCATGCATATTGCTCTCCTTTTCATCTTCATGTTCTCCGTAGTTTCATTTCCTAGCAGAATCCTCCAGATACACCTCTTCAAAAACCAGCTCCTCTTTTTCCCATCGTCCCCTGAAAAACCCTGACTAACCCACTGCGATCGCGCTGCAACCACTAGACTGCGGATGCCGAAAGTCACCCCTACACCCGGACCCAAAACCCCCAAAACCCCAACACTCAACATAAAATCAAAAATAGAAACAATCGCAAAAGCAGAAGCCGCTCTGCCTTGCTTTCTTCCTTGGGCATCTGCCCGAGGAACTCGCCGTCGAAGTCGCTCACATTGACCACGTCGAAGGCCGCACCTGTGCGCGATCAGAAACTCCGATCAAAGGGGAAAAGGAGGGACCCTTACTCGGGACCCCTGCCCTATAATGGGGCTATATAATGGGAATATAATAGCTATATTAACGGTGTATAATCTAGAGGTCCTTATGAAGGGTCCCTCCTTTTCCCCTTGGATTCGAGGGGTAGGATTGAGGGTTCAGGTTTCGGGTTCGGGTGTAGGGTTCGGGATTGCTACACCCCCGCCTAGGCCATTTCCTGCTTGAATTCTTGCAGCAGTCAATCAATTCAGCATGAGTTTGCCAACAGCAAGTGGAAGCTCGGAACTTGCGGTGTAGCCGGCTGAGTTCGGGAATTGCCAGAACATAACTTGTTCTGTAGAGATTACGGGTTCTCCAAACCGGTGACGAGCACCCTCCAGTCCCTAACTTGGTGCTTACCATCAGTCCTTCCACACAAGCGGGGAGTTCTCTAAATTAGGTAGTGCAGCACCCGTAAACAAAGAGACCCGAAAAGGGAACCTACTGCAGAGCTCCAGCGTTGAACCGTGAAGCCCTCCAGTCTAAACCGTCTAAACCCAAGTACAGTTGTATTATGTAGGCTTCTCTAAATTTGGGACCCTTTTAGAGTCCTTTTCATAAAAGTGCCGTACTATGTTTGGGACCTAACAAGGGACCCAACTACGCGCGTGGGCCTTCGTAACTACGAATCACAGACAGCCTTGGGGTTTACCTTGATAAAGACAACAAGGACACGACAGGGAATGGCAGTACCTAATATTCAGGCCCGTATATTACTCACTCATCTCTGGCATCAAGGTCCTTGCAGGATCGTCCCACTTATATGGCGCTCTACACTTCCGCAGCTCCACCTAGACCCTACATTACACCCCACTCTCCCTGCCGAGGTCCTCCAAAACCTAACGCCCTGCATCGTAAACTCCCGCCCGAGCCACTGGCTACCACAGGGACCTCAAAAATTAGAGAAGGACTTGGGGTGTACTCTACCAGGTAAAGTCGCCCCGGGTTCTTTGAACTTGATGTGGAGTCCGTAGTGAAAGGGTCGATTGTGCGGGAAAGCTTAGGATTTATGCAAAGTAGGAGCACACAATACGCATTTTTCACCTGTGTTGTAGCTCCCGAGGCCTAAAACGTACAATGTAACGTCACTGGCACGGGGTGCTACGCCTCACCCAACCCTGAGAGGGACGTCGAGTCTTTCTGCCCGGAGAGGGCATGTCGAGATTAGATTTACGTTGTGGAGATTGTGGCGTGGGTCTCGGGTCTGCCAAACGTCTTAATAACAAGGCCCTCATCGCAAAGCAGCCCCCCAACCACAAACGCGGAAAAGGATGAACAAGGCAACCTCACGAATCCTTGACATCGTCAATGCTACCGTCACATCCGAAGCCTTGCATGCCCAGGGGGGACGCGCTGTCCGTGACCTCTGAGCATTCCGACTCCAGGCACCACTGGCCTCAGGGCGGTGCTTGGAGGTTCAGGGGCAGTTAAAAGTGGGGTTATAAGTCCCCAATATGGATTAAAGTATAGTTACCTGACTTATAACCTTACATATAATACCCATGAAGGGTTACAAGTCCCCTAACATGGATTAAAGTATAGTTACCTGACTTCTTATAACCTTACATATAATACCCATGAACCTCCAAGTGGTCTCTTGATTGGAATCCAAGCAGAGTGGCTTCTTACGGTTTAGGGCCTTGGGGGCCAAGGGTTTGGAGTTCACCATATCACCGTCAACCCTGAGCCCTAAGAAATGGGTATCCGAATCCTTGCTCGCACTCCGCTTGCAAAAGTCGCATTGCCTTCCCATGAGCTGTTGCGCTGCTTGGAGTTCCGGGTTTCCGGCTTTGGGGGTTACTCTAGGAGCCTTCATAAATAGAATAGGGTTTTGGGGTATAGTCTGTATAGTGTACTATAATTATGATGAGGAACCCCAAAACACGACAGGTAAGTGACAGAGGCCCCTAAAATAATTCAGGGAATCCAGCACCTCATCTTTAGAATAGGGTTCCCGCCAAAGTTTTTGGAATATCGGAGTCCCCTAAACCCTAAACCCTACAGATCCCTTATGGATCGCTTAAAGGAGCCCTAGATATTCCTTAATTAAGGGATATTGGAGTCTTCGGAATAGGGTTTTTCACCAAGTTGCCGGAGCTTCGCTTGAAGGACAGGGCGAGACCAGATCCCCCTTCCTTGCGTTGGAGGAAGGCCCAAGAAGGGAATTAGGGATTCTTAGGGTTTAGGGTTTAGGGTGTAGGGTGTAGGCCCAAGAGAGATTGGGGAGTCTTAGGGTTTACTTGGAGGTTCACGGGTAGTTATAAGTAGGGTTATAAGTAGGGTAGCTGCACTTATAGCCCATGTTAGGGGACGTATAACCCCACTTATAACTACCCATGAACCTCCAAGTAGGGTTTAGGGTTTAGTGTTTTTTTTGAGCTCCTTTTTCCCAAAGTCCGCAGCGACTCCAAGAATAGAAGGCCTTCGAAAGGATTGGGGATTCTTAGGGGGTTAGAGTTTAGGGATAAGGCTGCAGGGTTTGAGTCGATCTTGGAAGGTGTCAATTCGTCGTGCCCGCATGGCTCTTGGCTTCACTGGTCCGCAGGTGTTGAGAGGCCGGGGGGCTCTCACAGACCACTACTTGAGGGGATCATGGGACTTAGTAAGTAAGGTTATTCGGACCTTCATTGGGGTTATACGTAGTTATAGGTATAGCTACCCTAATTAAAAACCCAGTTACTAAGTCCCATGATCCTTTAAGTACTCCCAGGGGGGGCTGATTGTCTGGAACTGGGCCGAAACGTTAGACCATAAATCCTAAAGCCTTAGTTTCTGGTCTTCTATGGGCTCGTTCACTAGAGGTCGACTTTAAAGAGTACTATAGGGGTTCCTTTAAAGGGATCGACTTTCGGGAAAAGGCTCGAACTTCACCCGGCCGCTGTGGGAATCCCGGCCACTGGGGCAGTAGATTCCATCGTAGCGGCCTGACAGCTGCACCAGGTGGGTAGTTGTCAAAATTAAGGTCCCCTTATCGGGAAGTCCTGATCTTGCTGTGATTAGCCTTCCCAGAGGGTTTTTGAAGTTTGTCGCTTCGAGTTGATTGAATCAGGTCCCCTTTTGGCGTACCCTAAATATTAGGTGCCGTATCATAATAGGGACCCAAAAAGGGACCACAATTTTGACAACCACCCAGGTGACAAGTGAAGTGGTGGGAGTCGGAGTATCGGAATTTGCGGGCTGTCGGCTTTCAGGAATCTGCTTCTCCACCTACCATCCTGCCTGAATAGCTAGAATAGAGTTGACAGGGGGGTATGACAACAAAAAACATACAGGGACTATCAGGGCATGGCATTGCTATCCATTCCCACAACGATATCAAACACTAGACGAACGACCACAAACCTGATAGCAAGCATAGGCTCAACCTGGCACGACATGTATTTCTATTCATACTTGCCCAGGCCACCCTGAAAGCATAGCGCAAGTTCTCTACAAAGCGCTATTCGAGCCTCAGGCAAGCCGTCTCAAAACCCTTCAGAGCCAACGCGAGAATCCCATCAAACCCAAAACAACACCACCCACAACAAACCCTAAACCCCACAACCGCCACAACCTCAACCCTGAACCCGCTATCCTCTACCCGAATCCCGACAGCATAAACCCTAAATCCTATTAAACCCTAACCCTCCACCCTTTTCTAAAGTTAGGCCCAGGCCACCCACCAGCTCGGGCAGCTGTCCCCTTGGATCGAAACTCACGGGCGCCCCGCCGGCTTTGCAGCACTGGTAGCCTGAACAAAGCGTCAGCGAATATAGGGTTCTTGTACGGGTTCTTATACGGTTTCGGCTTCTTGTGAAGGCTCGTATCAGAGTTCGAACGGCTAGCATAGGGTTCTTACAAGAAATTACAAGGGTTCAACGAGGGTATTTGCAAGGGGCTTAGGGATCTTGAAAGTAACTTGACATACTTGGGGTCTCTCAATATCGGCATGTATAGGGGACTTAATAATGCAAACAGGGTTCCTTCCAGGCGGGGGTCGCTTAATCAGGATTGTTGTAAGGGGTGCTGTTTAAATCCCTTTAAAGGCTTACGGGTTCACTCAGGGAGTTGGATTCTTGTGAAGGTCCAATGACATACTTTGAGTCTGATGATATAATTTTTTCTTAAGGGCCTCCATTAGATTAGGGCTCCTTTACTGGTCCCTTTAAGGGTTTCTATGTGGTTCTTTCAGGGTTCGAATATACGCGCCTCATTAACTGGTACAAAGTTCTGGGGCATAACAGGGGGCCATGGTTCAGACCTCTATACTACGGTTAATGATATAAATCCTGCATTACCCAGAATAAGGAATATACCATAATTCCCATAGTTTAGGGCCCTTAAGGTAATGCAGGATTTATATCATCAACAGTAGGGTCTCTTCACAGGGATTGCTGCAACGGCTCATTCGAAGATTCTCTAATGGCCAGGCTTTAATATGGTTGTTTAGAGGCCTGAATAGTTGGACTAGGGGTTTGGGGGTTTCTAGTTTGCAAGTGTATTGGAAGAAATCCTGTAGGAGTAAAAATCCGTGTTTTGGGATCCCCATAGTAGGGTCAGGTGATAAATGGGAGCTCTACACCATTTTCGGGCTTACTGCCTCGGTCTGGCGCTGATTCTTCAGGGCTGATTTGTATCGAGATTTTGGGACTACTTTCCCTGGTTTAGCGAGGGATGCATTGATTAGGTCCAACTGGGTCCATGTTTCATAGTCGGGGTTCTACTGTTTCGGGGCTCTAATTTGGCTTGGGGCTGGCATTCGCCCGAAATTGCTATTCCCTATCCAGGAGTCGCATAAAGAGGACACATCTGTTTGGTCTATGTTGACAACTTGACCCGGGTTTTGGGTGCTAGCCGAGGCTTAAGCAATCCAAGGTCTCGGAAGCGAGTTTGGAGCTTTGTGTTAATCTGTTATGGGTCGGTACGGGTTACTGTAAGGGCTACCATACAGGATCTGGGTCGCAGGGCTGAAGCATGCGGAATCAAGACCCTACACGCCTGAAGCCGTGAAACTTGACGGCCCCTGTGAACCACACCAGAATCCAGAAGCAAGACGATTAGGATTATAGAGTTTTCCAGTGCTGAGGGGTTTCTTCTTTACGGGTTTAGGGCTTGGGCTTCTAGGCAAGGTTCGCACTCGACCCCACTTGCCGCCCTCTGAGAACTCGAAGTGGAAGCTACCCAGCACGGCATTCTGCCCGCAGCTCACGGGCATCATGCGAATGGGCTTGGCCCTCGGTGGATTGCGCAAAAACTCTCGGGACTTGAAGTTCCGGGCTCAAGGTTTAGGGTTTAAGGTCTGGGGTTCAAGGTTTACGGTTTAGGGCTTGCGGTTTAGAGTTTGGGGTTTAGGGTTTAAGATTTCGGGCTTGGGTTCTCATTACCAAGCATTCAAGCCTCTTCTAGGCCCTCAGACAAGCACTCCCCGGTGTCGTTACCAATGACCCCCGAAGAACCCCGAACCCCTAAACCCTAAACCCTAAACCCTGAACCCTAAACCCTAAACCCCTAAACACTAAACCCTAAACCCTAAACCGTAACAACGAGCAACTTGAGAAACCTAAATTTCAGTAGCTCGCAGGCTGCGGCTCGAAACGGAAATAACCACTCACATGCAAATCAGTACTGGTGATGATATAGTCATATGAAGAAGACGCAATGATGACAACAGGCTGGTTCGATCAACACAATCATCCTCATAAGCCGTGTACAAGCTACCATAACAAGACCAATACCAATAACGGATAACCATGATTCAAGGACATGTGAAGTTCGTTCGTCCAAACAGGACTCAGGGCTTAGCCTGCCATCAAGCATGAACTCGAACGGTTGATAATATAAATCCTGCATTACCTTAAGGACCCTAAACTATGGGAATTATGGTATATTCCTTATTATGGCTAATGCAGGATTTATATCATCAACCGAAGCACTGAAACCCAAACCTTACCTGTTCAGTTCCCAGCAGAATCGCGGGTTCACGCCACCTCACAAGGGAATCCAGGCCTCTGAAGGTCAGGTCCTGAATCCCGAACCCTTAAGCGCCCACAGTGGCAGACTACCTGAGGTGGGCTGTCTGAGGCACAAGGTCCACCTTTATTCGACGAGGTGCCAGTGGTGGATCGACTGGCTAAAGCCTCACTGGTGGCTAGAGGGCTCTTGGCTTGGACTACAAGCGCAGTCTGTCTGTGCAGGTATATTGGGCGGGCACAGGTTTGTTGTACTTAGTCCATTAAGCTAAGAATGCAAGAAAAAGTTTTCGTGACTGCGTGTGCTTCTTGCACAACCACAGTCGACGGCAATCCTTCTTGACTATGAGGCAATCAACTGTGCGCCAGGAAATGAAGTTGGAGAACTCAAGAACAGGCCAATTGATAAACTCACCAGCACCGTTCCCTCCGTGCCTGCATTGCACCTTAAGCCCCAACAGGGTCAAGGACATGGAAAGTAACTCAAGGTAGCAACCCCTGCTGATGGAAACCATGTAGCCTGCAGGATGCAATCATGCACATCATCTGTGCTTACCCATTGTCGAACACTTCGTTGTTCAATATAGGTGCTTTAAACAAAACATGGGCTTTTCTCCTGAGATCAAGAAACTGGGAATCTCCACTTGGGCGCTGTAGTAGTCAAAGCAAGAGCCCAGTCCACCTTAGGCTCAGGGCTTTGCGTGATGGCTTCTTGGTGTTTTGTGCTGTTTTAGCATGGTTGAAGCGAGCTTCGTCGATCCGTCTAGTCTTGGTTAGGGACCTCTGAAATGACAAATGCTCGCCTGGATATGTACAAATAAGTTGCATTACTATCGTGGATACCTAGCTAGCTACCCTACCTGCGGACGTACACACATAATGTACATATGTATGCTTACATACATCAGTAAGGGTCTGTGCACAAAGTATTTTCTACATCGACTATTGATCGGTGGTTTGCTCGTTGAGTATCTTCTTGAGCTATCGTGTGCCTGTGTAGTTGTATGCGCATTCATTAAGGTACCTGCATGCATGGCTACAGGTTCCGATGAATACATGACACAGTCGTCATTCCGTCAGAGAGCCGTCAAGCAGCCATCCAAGGGCATATGAAAGTGCTGGGTCCCTCCTCGAAGTCTTCATGACAAGGACCCTAAGACGAAGGTCTTATATTACTGGCGCCCAGCTGGAGGCAACTCCCACATGACCGACTTTGAACCCGAAACCGCCAAGGCAGGATGCCGATCTTGCTGCACTCGTACTTGTAGATGTTCCTGAGCAGCTTCAAGCGGCTTAGGCTAGAAGCTGCCCCCACCCTGTAATAGTGGTATAATAGGAGTATAATAGGGCCCTAATATAATCCTTATAGTCACTATTACATGCTGGGGGCAGCTTCTCAGCTTTAGGATGTAGAGATTTCGGGCTCAGGGTCTCGTGTTCGCGGATTCAGTTTTGGTCCGAAACCACAAGCGGCTACGGTTTCACAGATTAGGAGTTCAAAGCTTAGCCCTAAACCCCAAGCCCCGAAGCCCCAAGGCACCTTCGTCAAAACTCCGCGCGGCGTCAATGCTTTGCGAAAAATGCATACATACATACATACATACATACATGCATACTTACACACATACATACATACATACATACATACGTACATACATACATACATACATACATACATACATACATACATACATACACACAAACATACATACATACATACCTACCTACCTACCTACATACATACATACATACATACATACATACATAGATTCATACAAACATACTTACATTACATTGCAATACATTACAATACGCTACAATACATTACATACAGACAGACATGCATAAAGGCATACGTGCGTACATACATACATACATAATCACACACATACATACATACATATGTGCGGAAACATGCAGGAATGTATGAAGGGCAAAAGTGGGGCTTACGCTTAAGGGCCTGCGGATTCGGGTTTTATGATTCAAGGGATAGTCCATCCATTAAGAGACCTAAGCCCAAAGCCTGAAACATACGCTATGCGCCATACTTCTGCTTTAAGCTGCCTGAACATGTATAACCCTAAGCCCTATTCCATACACCCTAAACCATAATTCTGTTTTAAGGGCTCTATGCATCTGCTTCCCATCTTTGGAGCATTTTGACAAAGCCGGGGCACTTGGCAGCGTCCAACTTGAAGGCAGTCAAGGCTTCACCCGACGCACCTTGAGTTTAACCCAGGGGCCTCAACAATTCGAATAGGGTTTGGAGTTGATTATTCTATACTTATAATTATAATGAGGAAGCCCACACAGATTTTTGGCCACTCTAGTGTCTTTGAGATTGTGTCGTGCTCGCCTATTCTTGGAGTCCGCACAAGCCTTGAATCCTTCAGGGATCAGGATTTAGGGAGCCTGGGAGTTGGGGCTGCAGCCGGAGACTTTCATGTCTCAGGCTAAAGCTTTAAAGCGCTGAGGCTTAGGACCTACACGGAGGTTCGGGCTCGCAGATGTGTGATTTCGGGACCATCGACCTCAACCTGGGTTCCAAACCCTAAACCCTAAGCCCCGACATTGCACCGTAAGACCCTAAACCCTAAACCTCAAGACCCAAACCTCGACACCAGGTCCCTCAACGGGGAAGCCGAGCTCAACATGACAGTAAAATTTAGGGTTGTATAGTATAGTAGAACTATAACAAGGAACACCAATGAAGCAATTTTGCTAACTATTCTGCGCCCTAAATTACTCGAGCAGTCGCACCGCCGAAATTCGCCATCGTTGCACATAAACTGTCGCGGTCAGGATTCCGGCTTAGCGATATCATGGCACGACAAGATCCAAGAAATCCCAGGAGTCTGGAGATTTAGGGTGTAGGGTAAACCCTAAACCCTAAACCCCGAACCCTAAACCCTAAACCCCAAACGCTAAACCCTGAACCCCAAACCCTAAACCCGGAAATCCTTGAAAGGTCCCCGAAACTGCGGGGATCGAGGCACATTCAACGTAGTTCTCGGCGAGGAGGTGGTGCCAATCCGGCCAGTTGGTGGTAGTTTTGGATCGCACGATCGCTGTATCCACGAAAGCACCGAACCTCGAGAATTTTGGGTTTAGGGCTTTGGGGCTGTAGGGTCTTGGGGTTTAAGGTGTTGGGAAAAGTACCGAAACTATTACTACTAGGATGGATCATCAATATTACCTTCACTACTGCGGACTACTTACTAAGATTACTATTTATCTTTATCCCTACTGTACACTGCTATCGGCCACGCCAGTCTGTACACTTCTATCGGCCACGCCAGTACTAGTCGTGCCTCCCTGGTTTTTCATAGGAGTGGGTTAAAGGGACCACACGAAGGACTGTGATAGGGATCCCTTCCCCCATTCCGAAAAAAAAACGGAGTCGTTCCGGTCGGAGGCCATTGGCGAGCATGCGCTACGCCTTTCTGATGGGCTGCGACCCCTAAACCCTAAACACAATACTTATCACTTTAGATCCTTTGGGCCGTCATACCTTATGTATAGTTGATCCACAAGTGATTCGCTTCTGGACTGTCCCAAGACTGCCGGCATAAACCCTAAGCCCAGAGACTCCAATATCCCTTAATTAAGGAATGTTCCTTAAATTATGGTAGGATCCCTTATATGATCTAAGGTATATTCCTTAAATTATGGTAGGATCCCTTATATGAATTAAGGTATATTCCTTAAATTATGGTAGGATCCCTGATATGATTTAAGGAATATTCCTTAAATTATGGTAGGATCCCGGGTATGATTCAATGTATATGCCTTAAATTTTAAGGTATATTCCTTACATTATGGTAGGATCCCTTATATGATTTAAGGTATATTCCTTAAATTATGGTAGGATCCCTTATATGATTTAAGGAATATTCCTTAAATTATGGTAGGATCCCTTATATGATTTAAGGTATATTCCCTAATTGAGGGATAATTTGGAGTCTCTGGGAGCCCGACCCCCTAAACCACCGTCTCTGTCTCGACTTTCTCGGGTTTTTGGGGAAGTTCTCAAACTCTCGGATCGGCCTTGAGGGAAGCCCATTAGGCTGAAGTCATCATGGAAGGAGTTTAGGGGTTTCGGGTGTAGGGTTTTAGGGTTTAGGGTTAGGTTTAGGGTTTAGGGTTAAGTTTTCATGGACTAGGACCCAGAGTAGGCCCTTATTCCCTTTTTAAGGGTTTAGGTTCCCTTACAACCCCCTTTAAACCAAAAAGGGCACCCTTTTTCTTCCTAGGTTACTCTTGGGTCTAGTGGAAGGAGTTTAGGGTTTTCGGGTGTAGGGTTTTAGAGTTTAGGGTTAGGTTTAGGGTTTAGGGTTGGACAAGTGTCCCCAAAACCCTGAAGCCTAAGCCCTCCGAATCCCAAAAACACCAACGTTGCAGGGTTAAATGTGTAGGGCTGAGGTCACGAGGTTTCTAAACCCTAACCCTAAATCTCTCTACCCCCAAACTCCCAAACCCTCCTCAGGGGACTAGAGCCACTAGATCAAGCAGCTGGATCAGTGGCGCGAACTTGCACGTCGTCTGGCTCGTGCCCGTGTCACCTGTTGGGGGCTCTCAAATTTTGGAGGACAGGGCTCAGGTGTCAACTCACTTTTCAAAGTTTATAGGGTCCAAGACCTTCTAGATTAGGAGATGACGTAGGGTATATTAGGGTTTAGGGTTTACGGATTCAGGGTTAGAGGCTTCGCAAGTGTAGGGCCCTAAACCCTGACCCCTACTTCATAAACCCTGAACCCTGATACCGAAATCCTCATCACCGAAACCATGTGTCAGGATCCCTCTCCGTTTCACTGGATCCTCCCACTACACGTTCTTGGGGAAGCTTGCTCTTGATCAAAGCCGGTGCCAATGGCCGAAAGAAGTCCCAAGACAACCAACATATATGTATATATATATATATACATATATACATATATATGTATACATATATACATATATATATACACACATATTTCTACACCCCAAGCCCTGAACCTCAAGCAAAAAACCCTAACCCGTTGCGGGCCGAATTTGCTGCAGGTTCTTGAGGCTTCGAGCCGAAGCCGTGTTGGTATTCTGGACCCCTAAACCCTAAACCCTGCAGCCGCGTTGGTATTCCGGGCGCACCTGCAAAGAGCTGGCCGAAGTCCAAACTGCTCAGCGCGCCGCTGGTGCCGCAGTAGGAGGAGAAGGGCTTGTGGAGGTCCTGGAAACATGTGCAGGTCTAGTTTTGGGTTTTGGGGTTTAGGGTTTAAGGTTCTGGGTTTTGGGGGGGCTTATCAGCGGCACATCATGCCAAAAAGTATATTGTGACGAAGTCTATTCTGACCCCCTAAAGTAAAGTCTTAGGAGGTTGGAGGCTCTGGAGGTCCTGAGGAAGGTCCCCCTGGGAATTCTTATGCCAGAACAAAAAACAGTAATAACAATAACGATAACACTACGAATAACAATGGTGACAGTAAACATGAGAATGAGAATGATAATGATAGTGATCACAACGTTGTTATAATCAGTCTTAATAGTCATTACAAGATTTTGGGGGTCTTATGGAGGCCAATAGAATCCCCTGAGGCTTCATTTCTTGTAAAGTCCTGGAGAGATTGAAGCAGTGGGATCTTGTCAGCATTCGTAAAGGTTGCTTATGTTGAGGATGGTGCTATAGTTTGATGCTCTGGGGAGATTTTACGGGCCTTCTCAGGCATTTTATGTGGCCCAAGGGTTTGGGGCTTTGCATTTCGGGTAAGGGTCTTGTGGGCCAAACCGGCTGTTGTCCGTACTCAGGACAGCCAGTATCTTCCACCCTAAAGCCCCAACCCTTGAAACCGCTAATAGCCCTAAACCGCTAAACCCCAACTCCCAAACCCTAATTTGAGGCACCTGAGTCCGCTCGTCCGCCTCGATGTGGAGATCCCACATGTCTGTTGGCCTTTTGGTATTCTTAAGAGTTTGCGGTTTCAGGAAAGAGGTCTTGGGGGTTTGGGGTTTGGGGTTTTCGATATTGGATACTGGGAGTTCGAGGGTTTGGGGCTTGAGGGCCTTATCCTTCAGGATCCTCCTACTCTATCTATGTAACTGCATATAGACCTTCTATATATATATATATATATATATATATATACATAGATATAGGCTTTGGTGCTTGCGGATTCAGGGTTTTGGGGTTCTGGGCTGGTAAGGCCCACGCCGCTCGGATCCAAAACTTGAACTCACAAAAACCAAACCCCAAATCCTCCATTCCGTTTGAGTCTTGGAGCCCTGAAGGAGATAAATCCTACGCCTCCAACAGAAACCCCTACAGAACACGGTGTGTACACCCCTACTTGGAGGTTCGTGGGTTGGTATAAGTAGGGTTTAGGGTTTAGGGTAACTTTTCTTATGACCGATATTCGCCTCGGCCCCGGCCGAAGCGGTCAGAGGTTCCTATTCGGATTTCCTCTATTCCCCACCTCTTAATCCCCTCCCCAGTGACCCCACCCCCAAAATCCTGGCCACCGCCCCCCCCCCCCCCTGAGATGTAACCTGGACGTGTATCCCCTCGCTAGGCGTACAGGAACACAGGCACTCAGGTGTCTCTTTTGCTACAGGCGCACAGCTGTAGTCCACTGCACTAGAACCTTGAGCAACAGGCATGGATACATGCAAGTGATACGTGAAACAGACAGGCACCTGGATGTGTAACATTCAGTGTTTCAACCAGGCACAAATTTAAAACACGTAGAGCTGCATGGCCGTGGAGTCGGCATTCAACTAGCCTGTTATTGCTCTCGGTCGAATTAGCGGAGTATTGAGCTACATCTGCGACTTGAAGAGAATCTATACATCTCTCACCTGAAGACAGCTTCAATGAAAAGAGCAGAACACGCACGAAAACGCAAACGGATCTTCAACTGAAAACTTTTGCTTGAAAGTTGCCCACTTGTGTAGAGCTTAGCTCCACTGATGCCAGCATGACATCTTGCGACACGGCAAATGTATAAGGGCATTAGAAGTATCTTACCCTGAGATAAGTATCTTCTTTCTGACAAGGTCTCTAAGGAAGTACCTCTTCATGAGAAAAGCATCTTCCTATGAAATGGCGAATGCTCAAACTGGATACCTTCTTATGAAAGAAGCATTCCGTGAAACACTCACTCCACATCTTCCAACGGACCTTGGTTCATCACCCTCTGGTTGTACTGCTCAACCCTTCGACGAGTTCGAGGACTGTCGTCTGGATGAAGCAGCTGGTAGTGTGGGTAGTACCATCTCTCCAAACTCCAGTGATGAAGCTGTAGGTGAAATGGGAACCACGGTCTACCACCAAAGGATGCTGGGCCAGGACCAACGTCTTCGTCAGAAACGTCAACGTCTGCGTCCTCGCCCTCGTCTGAACCTAGTCAGTTTTTGCCCTTGGCTTTGCCTTTGGACTTGTCCTTGGTCTTGCCTTTGGACTTGCCCTTGTCGGCGTCCTTGCCTTTTCCTTTGGAGGACTTGCCTCCTTTGCCGCCTTCTTTGCCACCAGGAGGTTGTGCGGGTTCTTGAGGACGTTGAGAACCAGAAGCTTTAGCACCAGAAGCTGCCTCTTCCTGAGAAGAGCTTGCTCCCTGTGGTGCGGCTGCAGGACCAGTAGAACCAGAACCACGCGCCTTGTTCAGCTTCTGTCTCTCTTTTCTTCTGTCCGCGGCTTCCTTCATGGTGTCGGGATTGCGGTTGAGCGCCCTCATCCTGCTTCCAGAGTACTGGTTCGCGTGAACCTCGATGAGGAGCGGAGTGTGAGCGTCATAGTCCCGATCGTTGAGAAGGTACGCGGCGCTGGTGGAATTTAAAAGCCACTCAGAGACATGGATGTCGAACTCGGTCTTTGAAGGTGGAAACTCCGCCCATTGATCGTCCGACATGCTGTGTCCCCCCATTCCATGACTGTAGCCATAGCAGGATCCAAACCAGGAAAAGTATTCCAGTCTGGTTGCTTAGCTTCCTTGTATGGCATTCCCAGCGTGTCCTCATACTGCTTTAGAAGCCACATGGCGTTTGCTGACACATGTCTCGCACGAGGCGAACAGAGGTGTGGGCACTTTGGGCTTTCTGACCAGGCCTCCAAGAAGTAGTCGAGAAGGCTTTGGTACATCCCGCCACGAATATCCATTGACTCTTGCTTTCTGCCGGTGGCCCGGTAGAGGGCCATGTTGGCGTCGCCACCGATGAGGTCGACTTGGTAGTGCAAGCAGTCAATGAACATGTTGCCCAACACTTCATGAGCCAACGCCACCTTATCTGCCGCCGCGTCGTTGTGAGAGGTCCCCGATCTCCTCTTCATCGACTCCGGTGCTCAAGAAGTAATGAAGCATAGCATTCAAGAGTTCTTCTCGAGTTGCCGGATTGCCGCTTGCATCCAGGGACTTCAGCTTATCAAGAAGTGCTTCCATAACCTCCAATGCTGATTCTCGGATGTCAGAGGCCTTGCCCATGAGCTTGTCATCCAAGGTGCTGCGAACGTCCCCAGAACGAAAGACAACGTCCTTCTTGTCGGGACGACGCTTATAGATGGGAGCCATCTTGTTGAGTTGGTCGAATAGGTCCCCCATAGAGAGAGAGAGTATTTCTGCCCCTTGTGATTCGGAACATTTACCCTCCAACTCATATGCTGCACCTTGTAGGCGAGAACGGGTTCGTAGTCAGGATCACGAAGTCCTGTATGATACAAGCCTGAATAGCCATATCCACGCAACTGCTTGCAGAGCAGCCGCATAGGGCCTTGTCGTTCGATTTCGGTGAGCTGCGAAAGGAAATGTTTGAACTCTTCGATATCAACGAGCTCGATCTTTTCCTTTGCCTTGCCCATCTTGTCGAACGCGTTCTCGTTCTGGTCCTCTGCATCCTTCGCGGCCTGGTAGTACTCAGGGTCCGGAACAGTCTTGCATTTCCCCCAGATGCCTTGATCGTGAAGTTCACTTTCATCATCCTTCTCGGGAGAAATGTCTGGCATGGATTCCTCACCCTGTGGTGAGCCTTCCTCAGCCATCTCGATGTTCTCGGACTTACCTCCTTCTTGACCCATGTGCTCATCAGATTCAACCTTAACCTCGGATGCCTCTCCATGTGGAGAGCTTTCCGTGGCTTCGGTCTTCTCCGGTGGGACATCCACCCCAGATGCCTCTCCCTGTGGAGAGCTTTCCGGAGAGTCCGTCTCCATTGGCTCGACAGTAGCCCCAGATACCTCTCCCTGTGGAGAGCTTTCTGGAGCTTCAGTCTCCATTGGCACATCGGTCGGCTCGGTCTTAACCGGATCAACCTTCTTGCCCTGTGGCAAGTCCGTGGATCCAGTCGACGGTTCGGAGGTATCCATCTGAGTAACTGCGTCGATCTCCTCGATATGTGGACATGGGAGTCGCTCGATGAACTCCTCGATCATAATGTCTTCATATGGTCGGGTGAGGAGCTCATTCAGCTCGGACTCCTTCTTCGCCTTCAAGTCCTCGTAAGCCACCAAGTCCGCTTTGGCCTTGCGTGCGAAAGCCGATTTGAAATCTCGGTGCTCAGATTCTGCGAAGACTTTCTCCAGAACCGCCAGAAGGTAGCTGCCGCTGAACGGCTGCTTGAGGGTACTGTCGTGGAGACAATAGCCCTCAGGGGTTCGCACCGTGTATTTACGGCGAACCTCCAGATCACTGGCGTGGCGCTGGATGTAGGAGAAGAAGTCCACTCCGTATGCCCCATTGATGACGCGGACGAGCATCTGAAAGTCCTCTCGCACATTGAAGACCTCTTCGTACACATACCTTTCCCTGAGGAAAGCCTTGTGTGCCTCGAGCTTGCGAGAGTAATCAGGATCCTCCGTCTTTGGCATCTTCGCACGAGGATCAGAGTCACGAGGGCGATCGAAACCAATGTTACCGACAGTGGGTCGGAACTCGTTCTGTGAGGCGAGGGTGACGTCCTCCAGCATCGTGGCAAGACCTCCAGGATGACGCTTCATGTTCATCTATGGCGATGAATAACCGTTGGAATAAACCTACGGTTTCTTGTCCAGCTCGACGAGGTAGTTCCCCTGCAACTTTCCCATCTCGAATGCCTTCAAGAAGAAGCGCAGGGAATACCCCGACAGAGGATGCTGCAACCATGATGCCCAATCGTATTCACCACCCAAAGACTCCCTCATCGAAGTAGTCAAGGTATGCCAGGGGGTGACCTGAACAAAGGGTATCGCCATAGGCGCTAAGCATCGGCTGGCCAGAAGCGTCCACCATGTGCAACTTGCCGTGGGCAAATAGGTGCCATGGATTGGTCCTTGCCTTGCGGAGAACCTCGTTAAGCTCCTCCTGCTGCTGGGACTTGTGTGCATCAACCTTGCCGTGGACGGTGTCCCCAGACTGGTACGCATACTTGGTGTCCCCTTCGGAGGCTGTGGCTTGCCGCTCCCGCTCTGCCTTATAAGCTCATTGTCGCGAATAAGCTTCTGGAGAGCTGCCGCGTCCAAAGTGGGTACCTTCTCCTGAGAGAAGCTTCCCGTTGACGCTTGGCCTGCATCCTGAGATGTCTTTGGCCTTTTCTTGGGAGCTGGCTTCGAAGGCGTTGGATCCGAACTGCTCCCCGGTACCCCTCCATGTGGAGAGCCTCCGGAAGCAGATGCAGAAGCAGACGCTGAGGTTCCCTCTTCCTGAGAAGAGCCTACCCCTGCGCTTTGCTGCCTCTTCTCGTGGCGAATGCCACCCGGATCTTGCTCGTGAGGAGGACGGTAATGATGTGTGAGATACATCGCCGGAATGTCCTTGTACGAGAGCACCACGCCGTTGTCTGTAAGAAACAGATCGTGGCCGTGGCTCAGATAGCTCTCGTAATCGAGGTTGGGGTAGAAGACGTAGGAGCCGTACTTAATGACGGTCCCAGGCCCAGGAGAAACCACTCCACCCGCATAAACGAGATGGATAGCCTTCCTGTGCCGCTGCCACGCAGCCTTCGTCGCCTCCAGCTTCAAGCCGTTTTCCCGGATGCTCTCGTAGTTGGAGTTATCCGAGGCGTGGAAAATCGTTCCCAGCTGGCGGCATCGGTCAATGGTGAGCCTTTCCCCGTAGGCGACATCAGCAACCTGCTCGGGCATCCGCGAGTGGCCCTGGACGGCGGAGACCCCGACGTAGAAGTCGAAGTCAAAGAACCGCTCGAACTGCAGAGCCACCGGAACCACCCAGATGTTGAAGCGGCCCTTCGAGTTCGCCATCAAGAAAGCGAAGAACTTCTTGGGCGCCCAATCGAAAGGCC